TTGTAGAAATTGTTTTGCCTATGTGGACACATTATATGGAGAGAAAACTTTGCTATTACATATATAGATTTGTAGATTGCTACACATGTATTAGTCCACTTAGCATGCATCATCATCATGTAATTCTACATTTCGATCACCTACAACTTGTTACAAACTTTTCGATTCCCTTTGTATTATGTAACTTATTATTGACTTACACCACGTTAATTAAATTGGATTAATAACCTATACATATTAAGTACTATATACTTAAAGGCTCACACTTTCCATTCAGTTATAATTTCATTTCCGAAGTAATTGTTTCATCCTTCTAGTTATATTTTGCTAATGTTTTGCTCATGTTTTTAACTTTTATTTTTATTTTTTCATATTTTAACTATAAATGAAGTAAATATTGCAAGAGTAAAACGATCGAAGACGAACGTTAGACTCGGAAAACTTAAAAAAAAAAAACTATTGGCATTGACGAGGCTAAAGAGTAAAGATAAAAGACTTGAGAAACCACACTTTTTTTTAATCTCAAATGTTTCTTCCCGTCAGCCGCAATGTTCGTATTTGGTATAATAGCAAGACCATAAAGAAATTTATTTTGCTGATTAGAACGCTTCATTTTGATAACCACATAGCAACCAAGACATAATCCTCCAATAACAAGGAAATCAACCACAAACCCAACGCAAATTGCCACAGCTCTCGGTCTTTTATGATGGTTTGTCTTCTAAGGCAAGATTTCTATCAATTAACCATTAGACTTTTAAAAATATAGGACTTTCTCCTGAAGATAATTATCAGAAACATTCACAACAGTCAGATTCTTTAAACTAGTTAGCTTGAGACGAATGCTACCAGTAAGCCGGTTTCTTGGAAGATGATATCAACAAAACCATGGAGAGATAGAACCGGTTAGGAGCGTAGATATATACAAATGCAATAGACATGAGATTACCGTCGTGACGACACTCTATCTCGAACCACAAAGCATGACAATGATCATTCTCTTTCCAAACACGTGCAAAGCTTATTGGGTAGCCAAAATATGCGATAATTGAAAGCATAGTTCTAATTCTTAGGTTACAAGAAACACTTGAAGATGTTAAACCGAATATGTTGGTTCCAATTCTCATATCTAACTATATACATTAGCATCGAATTCTGGTGTTGGTTTTTGAAGACTGCAACTGTGTGAAAGATATGTAAAAGAATAATGCATGTTCTTTGAGTGCCAACTACCTTGAAGACTTTTAAAGCATGCATATTCTTCCTGAAATCCCACTGTTTGAGATGCGCAAACTTGTGACTTGACTGTGCTCATCACAATTCAATCCCTCCAAAAAACAATAGTCATGATTGGACTGGTCTAAGTATAAAAGAATTTCTACCAAGAATAATTTCTATATGTTGTACGTAAAAGATATACGGAAAAAGACAAAAAAAAACTTTTTTTTGTTTTTAATCTCTAGTGCAATAGCTAGGCCATGAACAGACGTTATTTTGCTTGCACATCCGTTTTATGCATCTTTCTATATGTAGTTTCATTTCTCAAGTAATTGTTTTTATTTTTGCTTATATTTTGTTTATGTTTTGCTCATGTTTTTCAACTTGTTTTTTTTTCTTCTCAGATTTCAGTTATAGTCATAATAAAAAATAATGTATCATTAAGTGCATTAACAAACTTGATTAATGTTTTGGAAATAGTTAAATCTTACTACTAGGGCTAGATTTTATCAAGAAATAAATTATTTGATTTGTGATAAAATAAACAACTTTTAGTAAATTTAATCGTTGTTGTTTATAACTAGTTTTTATATAAATCTTTAAATTGTATTCAAATTAAAACATCATCTAGTATGAATGGTTTAATTTAGTTTCGGATTCGGATCTTTATCAAAATTGTACAAAGTTTGTTATTTTGGATCTAATCAAATGTGTTTTTATTTTTACATTACCGATCGTAATTTTTTTTAAAAGTAACTTATTAAACTTTTACCTTGCGCTGGATTTAAGTAAGAGGTTAACGTTCCACACCTATAACCGAATTAAACCAAATTTACAACATTATCATGAAGGTACATTATAACATTATCCCTTCCTAACCAGATTTCCTTGTTAAAATCTCTTTCAACATGAAATTCATTCCTAACGACAATTGACCCACCAATATCTCCAAGAAAATTATGAATGATGAGGTACTCTCTTTGCCTAGTTCTTCTTGCTTTGGTCTCTCGTGGCTTTTGGATTCCTATGATATTCCTAAACCTCTCAAGACTCACCTGCGTATCGCCTTCATCCTATTCCTCACTCCTCTCCTCCTTTAGATAATACTTTAACCGAAATTGACTAAACCAGAAATAAAAGAGATTAAGAAGCATAAACCAATTAACCAAGGGATTTCCTATAACAGAGGCGCGACCATCGTGTGAGCACTTGCTCTTTTGAAGAAGGATATTTCAAAAACGGACAATATGCTTCGTTGGTTACATCAATAACAGTAATACTCTATGAAAGTCTCAACTTATAATATTTTAATATTTTTTTATTTAGTTTCATTAATTATCTAAATATTAAATTATTAAACAAATAATGGATCAATAATATAGTGACATGTGGCAGAGACCGCCCCAAGAGTCTTTCTTCCATGAGACGTTTCTGCACAAAAGTCTCAAAAGTTTTTTTTTCTTTTAATTATATGATACTCTAAGAGTATCACCATTAATGATGGTCTTACGCTGTTTGAAGGTCTGGAGATAAAAAGTTAAAAGTAAAACCTTTTTTTATATAATTTGATTTCGAATTCAGATTTTTATCAAAATTGTGAAAAT